AGAGAGAGAGAGAGANAGAGAGGAGAGAGAGAGAGAGAAAGATTCACTCTTCGAAGGTATGTGAAAGGACTCTTGATGATGAACAACAGGTATTCCACATCTGCTCCAAGGGTAACAAGGATTTCTAATTTGTAGTTAGAAATAAAATAAAGAAATACAATTCTCAAACATAACTACCATTCCTGTTCAAGTTAGCAAATGCACATGGCATTATACCATCAATGAGAATACATTTTCCAGCAGTCACAGAACTAATAATATTAATAGATTTAACCATAAATCATACTACAGCAACACAAACACAACAATTTTTTTAACAATGACTACAAGCTACGAAAGAATAAATTCCATCCCTGAAAAAGACAGGAAACTAGTCAGCTGTAATTTGTTTCAAGTTATTCTTGACGATAAGAGCAAATTTGCTTGCTCACTTAGACAACCGAGTAAGATATCAAGTCAAATATGATAGGCATACAGTCCTAAAAATCCATCAAATAGGGGTATACAAGCCTAAACACAACATAACCAATGGTACTGATCAAAGAGAAGTGGAAAGCCACCAAATATAAGGACAACAATAACAGGATATATATCTTATTAGTTCTCATCATTGTTTCACAATGATCAACATTACAAATTTCTTCCCAAAATCAAAGGCACTCAAGCTGTCCAAATTGATAACATACTTGATATGTTCAAAAGAAAAAGAATCATGGCTGCGAAAAGCTCTCCCATGCAATGGCAATGCATAAAATCAATACAGAAGAAAGAGAAAATCAAGGCCACAGAAAAGACAATTTGTTCTTGTTTTAACTCAGTGAACCTTAACTTTTATAGTAGCATACTTGAACACCAACTCAAAAGAAGCCCAATTCTACTCATTAAATAACCAAATTAACCAATGAAATGAACCAATTAAGAACAGCATGAATACTTCTTGGTTTGATCTGAATGTTCATTGGCATCATCGACAAGGCTCACCCTGTTAAGAGATAACTCCGCCTTATAAGAATCTGAATTGAGAACCTTCCTACTCACATTATTGTATATCTCTCTTATCACTATCTCAAAGGCGGCCTTCACATTAGTGGAATCGAGTGCAGATGTTTCCATGAAAAATAGACCCTCAGCTTCAGCAAGAGCCTTCCCTTCCTCTACACTCACATCTCGAATGTCCACTAAATCACATTTATTCCCAACCAATATTCTTGAAACAGTTGTATCAGAATGAGCTGCATAAGAAGAAATGAAAACCATAAAACTACAAAAGAAATGAAAACCATAAAACTACAAAGGATACTAAAGTGGACGACCTGAAAGCCAAAATGAAGTCAAAAGAAGAAGACCCAAAATCGAAAAGCCCACGAAAAACCAATAAATAATTAAAACCCCGTACTTAAACACTAGATATTACCAAAAAACTTAGAACATAGAATTTGAATTGAAGAAAAGGATAAATAGCAAGATGAACAAACTGATATACATCTGAAATTAAACATATTTCAGAAACCTAAAAGAAGTTGAGATCTGAGCTGATTAAACCCGATTTCAAGGAAAACCCATATATGGAAAAAACACAAAACTAGAAGAGCACTATATCCAAATCTCAATGAAATCCAATTCTTAACAAAAATAAAAGGTCTTGCTCTTGAACTTCTTCAGCATGACAGAGAGGGCAAACTAGAAGAAAACCCCAATCCCGTACACACCAAACCCCAAAGGTAATACCAGGAAACCATAAAACCCCAAAAAATCAAAAATCACCAATCAAAATCCCAAACATATCTTTCTTGCAAAACTAAAAAGAAACCAAAAGACCAGTGATGAAACCGAGTCACATATATGGAAAAGCAGAAAAATGTAAAAAAAACAGTCAGAGGCTTGGTACGGAGAAAAATAAATCATATGACTTACTCTTGAGCTCTTCAAGCCATCTAGTAACATTGTCAAAGGTAGTTCTCCTGCTTATATCATAGACAATAAGAGCACCAACTGCTCCTCTGTAATAAGCAGAGGTAACAGCTCTGAACCTCTCTTGACCAGCTGTGTCCCAAATCTGAGCTTTCACTTCTTTTCCATTGATCTCCATGCTCTGAGTCTGAAACTCCACACCGATTGTTGCCTTCGAATTAGGGTTAAACTCGTTCCTCGCATACCGCGATAGCAAATTCGACTTACCAACAGCTGAATCCCCAATAATTACCACCTTGAAGAGATACTCTTCCCCTTCTTCCTCCTCCATTCTCTCTCTAGAACCCAAGATTTCTCAGTTTGATTAACAAAGGAAGAAACCCAACGCACGTGATTGAAAGAGAGAGAAGTGAGAGAGGCTTTGAAGTTATACCAAGCTTCTGGGCTGAATTAATGGAGTGGAGTTTTCAAGCATTGAGGATTTCAGTGCTACACTAATACAATGCTAGGGATCCCAATGCACATGAAGAGAGAGAGAGAGAAAGAGAGAGAGGTTTTAACTTTTTATAGCATGTATTTTGCAGTAACGTACTACATTTTCTGTTGACTGTTAGTAAATACACCAACAGTCAGATTGAAAAACAATTGACAGAGAGAGAGAGAGAGAGAGAGGGAGAGAGATTTGTAGTTTATATTATCAGTATAGTAAATAACTACACTGTGTAATTTATTTTGCATACTTTCATGATTAGAGAGGTTCTATTAAGGAGGCAACCAAAATTTTGTCAAAACCTAGGATAGAGAGAGAGGTTTTTAACTTTTAATAGCATGTATTTTAAAGTAATACAATAATTTCTTTCTTTGTTTTATTAAAGTTAGATACATTAAAGTTTCTCCTCATTGTTAATAAATACAATAGAAAAAACAATTGATAGAGATTTCGGGATGAAAAATTGTTTCATGCGGGTTGGACCGCATTTCTACACATGTTGTTCTGAAAGTGTCAAGCATCAATCTTAAAGATAGATGTAAGTAGGAGTTGTATCTAAAAACAATAGAAACTAATAGTCCAAATATTTTCTTATTAGGAATATTATTTTTAATTTTTTAAATTTATTTATTTATTCATATTCATGATATTCATGTTAGAGATTACATGTCTTTAAAAATTAAGTCTTAAAATCCATCTTAAAAATAAATTTATTAAGAAGCCCGCATTTCTACATATGCAAGCTGGGCCGCATAAAAACTGGATCCGATAGAAATTATCTTGTCATAGTAAATAACACGTAGTTTATGTTGCATAGTTTCATGATGAGTAGTTTCTACTTTTTTTGGAATTCATTCTCTAGTCTAATTTTAACTTTTTGAGAAATGCACCACATTGGTTCTCATTGATCCTGCAGGACAAAAAATGAGTGTTGAACAAGTATAGACAGACTGTGTGTAGTTTTGTTAGATATATATTGTTTTTTAATCTACAATAAATTCTTTTTTTTGTGGTGAATGTGAAATATTCAACTTGTAGTTTTGTTAGATATGTATTTTTTATTATTTTTTCTTTTCTTTTTTTGTGGTAAATGTGAAATATTTAACTATTACATTGGTTTTGGGGTGAACATATAAAATATAAAATTTCAAACAAATTTTGAGGTAAGGATTTTCAGAAGAGAATGAGTGAGAAAGAAGTATGTATGTGTGTGAGATTCTGTTTGATGACATATTTTAGAATAAAAGTGATTATATTTAAATAAGTGTGTTGGATACTCTCTTTCTTCCTATATTTTAGTCTCATTTACTGAAATGGACAGGGAGTTTATGCTCTGTTTCCCGAGTCACCAGTCAACAGCGTTTCTATCGGAAAAAATACAGGGAAAATTAAAAAAAAACCCTAACCATACATTTTTTTTATGTAACTTATCCCAACCAAACTTTTTTTTCAAAATACATTTTTTATACCCTAATCAAATGAAAAATAAAAAAAATAGCTAAACTACCCTCCCTTATTTTTACTTTACCCACTCTTCTCTCTCCTCCATCGCATTAACATAGGGGCTCCTGCGCTATGTAAAATTCGGTCCGGTAGTAGGGCTTTGGCACAGTGTAAAATGCGGTCCAACAATAGCGCTCTATAAAGTGCAGTCCGGCAGTTACAAATGACGGTCCGGCAGTTGCAAAGGGTGGTCTGGCAGTTGTAAATGGCGGTCCGGCAGTGGCAAAAGGCAATCCGACAGTAGATGTTACTGGATTTTAAGGCTCTGACATTATGTAAAAGGCCGGCAGTAGATGTTACTGGATTTCAAGGCTCTGACATTATATAAAAGGTGGTCATGCAGTAATCAATTTTGGTGCAATAGTTATCTTAGATCAGTCCGACACTTATGCGCTCCTGCAATATGATGGTATGCTCCAACAATGTACTACTGAGATCGAAAAGTCAACCTCAAATCTGGCCAAAATGATTTTTGTATAGAGGAAATATATTTTCTGTCTTAAAAAAGTGAACTTTTTCCCTGAGAGGCATTTGCATAAAAAGTTTATTTTGGAGAAAAAAAAAATGAAAGAACAAGTTAAGTTGGGGTAAGTTGCATAGAAGGTGGTCTTGGGTTTTTTTTTTTATTTTATTTTATTTGTGTAATTTCCCACCTAACTTTTCTTTCACTTTTTTTCCAAAACAAACGAAAATACCATTAAGGGAAAAAGTTTATTTTTTTTGGGAATGCTCTTTCCGTACACGAATATCATTTTGGCCATATTGGTCACTTTTGGACTTAGTAGCACATCTGCTCAAGCACACCATCACATTGCCAGAGCGTGCACCGGACCGTCTTGCTATAGTGCTGCCGGACTACCCTTTGCAACTGCCGGACCACACTTTATATAGTTTCGGAGCCCTACTATAGGATTGCACTTTACATAATATGGTGACCTATTGTTGGACCACATTTACACAGTGTCGGAACCTTACTGCCGGACCGTATTTACATAGTGTCAGATTTTTTTGGTGGGATAGAGGAGAGAGGCGTGGGTAAGGTAAAAGTAAATAAGGGTAGTTTAGATATATATATTTTTTTTTTGTTGGATAAAAAGTGTATTTTGTAAAAAAGTGAAAAAAAATTCTGTTGGGATAAGCAGCATAAAAAGTATAGTCTCGGTCTTCTTTTATAATTTTTCCAAAAATATAAAAAGGATCGCTCTTTTTAGTAAAAAAATAAAAAATCCATTATATATAAGAATATTTCCGGTTGTAACCTTTCTATTTTAATTGCAATTCAATAATTACTCCGACAAAATAACCGTTGGCGTCTTCATCTTACCGTTAGAGAGAGAGATGGATTTTGTAGAGAGAGAAAGAGAGATTTTTTAGTGTGAAAAAGGAATGGCATCATATGGATGAGCTGGGATCACGGGGTTGATCATGTGCGTAGCCGACCTTGGGAGCACTATTTCACACTTCTATTTTTGAACCACATGAAAAGACCCCAATCTTTGTTCAAATACCAAAAGTGTCTTCATAGTCTACATATGTGCCCGAGCCGGTTTCAATCGAAAATCGGGAATCGCCCGGTCCTAGAGCGGAACCGTCGGTTCTCATCCCGTTCAGCTCGATTCACACACGTAACACATGACACACACGTGCGAACGTGCCACACGTACACTCATACTTACACGCATACACGTGTGTCCGAACGCACGTACAAGTATGCAACACGCATACTCACACTCGCACACATGTGTCTGAGCGCACGTGCGAACGTGCCCCCACGCACACTCACACGTACATACGTGTATTCGAGCGCACATGAGACCGTGCCCCACGCACACTCATACGTGCACACGTGTATCCGAGCGCACGTGCGAGGTTGCCCTAATATTTTTATACACATTTTATAATTCATATTGCATAGGTATTTATATACCAAATTTGAATACCCATCTTTCGATGTGAGATAATTCTCAAACATCATTAAATGAAAATGAAATGTAAATATAGTCTATTAATCAGCAATTTATAATCACATGTAATTAGATGGCTTGATAGTTATGACTTTGAATTTTTTACTTGAGGTCCCAATGTCGAATCCCCGTGGGCACCCTTATATAGTGGTTGGTATAAATATTTTTGTTGTTTTCGAATCCCCTGGGGCATGTGTTGCATTTTTGTTGTATATATAGTGCTTGGTATAAATATAAATATTTTTGTTGTGTATATAGTGATTGGTATAAATATAAATATTTTTGTAAATAATATAAAAGACATAAAAAAATGAAAACTAAAAAAATTAATTTTTTATATAACCGTTAATTTTTTTTGTATATAGTGGTATAATTATTTTTGTAAATAATATGAAAAGTATAAAAAAAATAAAAATAAAAAATTTATTCTATTTGAAATCTCCATCTTTCTATTAATAATCTCTTTTACTAAATTTATTATAGAAACCTAAAAAAATAAATTTTTGAAAAATTGAAGTGTTATTTCCAAAATTTGTACGTATTTTATTAATTTTTACATTGATAACCAAATCTTTTATTTTATTTGTGAATTTTTACATTATAAATCATGTAATGTATTATTTTTCTTACAGTTGTCACTAATACATTTTAAATTAAATAATATTATAAAATATTTTTAATTTGTTATTATTTGTCTAATAAAATAATTATAAAATGTAAAGTAATAATTATAATTTCAGTATATAATATTATAATTAGTGAGGTTGTAATAATTTTGGATTATAGTTGGTTAGGCTGTAATAGTTTGGGTTTTTTTAGCGGGTTAGGGTTTTTCGCCAAA